CGCAAAACAGCCATTAAAAGGGCGGGCGGCGCGACGACAGAGTCGGCCAAAACAATCGCTGCCGCCGCAAAACAGTTAGCCGCTTCGTATAATAGCCGCACAAATCCTACGACCGTACACACAGAGTCGCCCATATTGCACAGGGCCTTCGACGTGTCCGAAACCATAAAACGAAAACTGCTGTAATGAGTGCATATAATATAAAAGAAACGAAAAAATACAACACACCACACCGAACCCGTAAATCAACGTTGGCATTATATTATATGTGCATAGGTATTATTATATCAGATAGTCCTTGAACCCCTCCGTCGTATACAGTCGACATGCGCCGCTGCAGTGTTAATGTATACGTTTTATTTTCTCCATGATATTAGTACATAATATATTTGTTATAAGTTGCGATTTTACACAACTTTGTCGTTCGGGGTTTGGAGGCCGTGGGGTGCAAGCGACTGTATAATAATAATAATATGCTCGACGAAATCGTCACGACTATATTATACGAACACACCTATTTTTTAATATTTCAATATCAGCCAAAATTATCTTTGAAACACTGATAAGTCGAGCAATAATCTTTCATCTTTAAAATATATTCCGAAATTATAATTTTAGACTATATATTGTAATAACGCAAAAATAGAATAAACAAAAATATAAAAAATAATAGAAATAACCGTAAACATAAATACGACGAGTGCCAATACTTATATTTGAAATTATCTCAATTTACGCTCTTACCCTCCTCCTGATCGTCGGAGGGCTTTCGAGGTGGTGTTTTCGAGAATTTGATCAAATACACTGTACAATATAAATGTATAGGTATGTGCATAGAATGTAATATAATGCAGTCAATAATAATATATTTTATATTATAATATGTCTTACCTGACTCGCAGCCGTCTCTGGGTTAATGCTGTAGGCGTTTTAGGTGACACAAATTAATTACTCGAATCAAAATAATAAAACGCACCGATTGTTGCTCGTCATAAGGAGTCCAGTTGTCGCTCGTAGAATTCGGTATAGAGAGGTTTTTAATCTGTTTTGGTGGTGAGCATGCAATCGCGAGAGGATGTTTCACTCGAGAAAGGTGCTCATGCACTGGCGAAGGGACGATCCGGTTGTGCCGACCAGAGAGTGATAGGCGGCTTCATCAAAAGGTTGTCTTGTACATCTGATTTATCTTCTGCGACAAAGACCTTTTTTACCATACCTTTTCTCCGGCGGCATGTAAGAAAGCCACACGCCCTACGCTCTACAGTTGCAAACACAGGTACTTGTCGATATCTTAATCCCTGATCGCATAATATAATATTATACTATTTTGTCTGTGACTATGATTTATTGGGGTCTGGAGATTTCCGATTTCTACGTGTGACAGTCTGGCCGTTATTTATTTATTTGTTACATTTTAAAGAATTATTATAATGACGTGTGAGCTGTGAGCATATCACTACAAATAACAATACAGTAAACTCACACATTTCTTAGTGTCGTCCAAAAGCCTAAATTTGAATAATATTGTTATAATATGTAACGACCTTAAAATTTAAATTCTAGTTCGATAAAAATAAAAGGAAATGATTTTAATTACTTTGGGAAGTGAAAACAAATTACTAGCGATTCTGGTTACTAATAAGTAATTACGTTTTATCCTTTGGCCAAATACATAAATCGACCATTTCTGGATTCTATATAGCGGGCCCAATTGGACATATCACGTTATTCTACCATACGCGAAAATCAGAGTTAAATAAGTTATAATTATAGACCGGATTTATATGCGTTTTAAAATTTAAAATATTCATGCAAACGTGCACTAAAAAAAATCAAAATATGCAAGAAAAAGATGCAAAACATACGAAATAAAATTTCAATTTTTATTAAATTTTACATTAAATTTTAATTTTGCATTGATAATTATTTATTAGTTTTATTAAAATCTTCATAAACAAAAAGTAAGATATATAATATAACAAATATGTAATACAGTAATGTAATTTGTTAAATTGTAATTTAATTTTTAATCATTGATACATTGTAAAAAATATTTTATTAAAATTAAATAGTAGATACATTGGTGATATACTGATATAAATAGGAAACCAGTACGAAAAATGTAATGTAGTATGTTAATTGGAAAAACAATAACCTAACTTATTTTTAGCGTCCGAATATTCTTTGAGATGTGAAATATTTGATATTAATATTATATATACGTATCTACCTAAAGTCTATTTTTTTTTTGCTCAACACCTTTTTAGATCGTCAGGTGTACATTTGTACGGTTTTTTGTTAAAATATGAAAAAATTGTCAGAATATGCAAAATTATGCACTATAAAATTTTGATATTTAATCAATCAAGTAATGATTTGTGGACATAATTGACTGCATTTATATGATGTTGAAAAAAGCAACATGCATTTTATGAAAAATCCGGTCTTCAATTCTGATACATATAATTGCCTGTACCTTTCAATACTTATGATGTATTTTTTGTTCGCCCACATTTTGCACTCCGGCGAAGGCAAAAGACAATTTGTACATAGAGGAAAAATGCACAGTTTAGCCGATTTAGGTACGTACACCTACTTAAGAGTTTACCCGCAAATATGAACATCCAAAGATAATGTACTAATGAAGTCGATATTGTTCACGTCATCGGTAAAAATAATGTCTACACTTTGCGGCATTGCGTATTATTATTATAAAAATACAAACCACGTACTGATACATCATGACCTAGGTGCCTAGAATAATATAATACAATTATGAAAGCAATGGCTGGAAATAGCAAATAAAATAATATAACTAATAATAATTTAACAGTGTTATGAAATACATAATTTTGATTAAGAAAACCTACCGACCTTTTTGTTTTGGACAGTAGTACATCGGGTTTTCTATGACAACTTTTAGAGGTGAAAACGTAGTTTTTTATTACTGTTTATTTTGTAAATATTCTTCCATTTTATGGTCGATTAATGTACACTAATTACGTGATATAATTAGTACCTGTGAGTGACTGTGACATGAAAATGTCAGTTTGTAATGGCATTAATTATCGAAATGAGAACAATAGAATAATATTTAACTTGATGTTTTCATATTTTAATTTATATAGATTTACTATATTTACTATATTTACTGTATTGATTATTTAGTATTATTTCTAGTATGAGCAATTTCTCATTCTTGTGTATTTAAATTTAATGTTGTATTTTTTTATTGACCCGTATTTCAACGGTTTATTACCATTAATGAATAACGGACATTTGTGTATAATAATTTGCCTATACTTCATAAATGAGGAGCAACAAGTACGGTTTTGTGTTAGTAAACTATAATAATATAATATCGATTTTATACATATTATTTTGCTTAGTGTCGAGTTTGTAAAAACAATTTAAACACAAATTTCAAAATTAATTTTGAATTAATATGAAACGATGAAATTTAATTAAAATTTTTTTTATTGCTTTAACGATGTTTAATATTTACTACCAATACCTACGGAAATGCAGTTAAAAGTAAATACTTTTGGACTATTTTGTTGGAAGATGGCACTACAATACTACATATACAAGTACACTTCATTGTAAATGTTTTTTTAATTTTTTTTATTGTGATTATTATCTTTTAAAATACCTAAATAAGGAATAGTTAAGAAAAATATTAATATTTTATGCACCTTAAAAATACGAAACATTATAATCGTATTATGTAGATACATGCAATATTATGTATACAAGAAAGCGATTCCAACGATTTTCTGTTCGAAACATAAGTCTAATATTAATCATACAAATTATCCAAAAAAAATGTTTAACGGGAAATTACTATCATGATAGCAGTAGTTAATGGGGAGTATTTCTCGCATCGTTTATTTTAATAGTTAACAACTAAGTGGTATCATTTTATTCAGAATACAAAAAGCCAATACCTTAAAAAATATCAATACGTACACGAAATACCAAAAACTACCTAGAATTTTTATAAAATTAAAAAAACCAAAATTATTTTGAAAAATGAATGTAAATGTTATGGGTAATGTTAAATTCGGATAATGTCGACATTAGCCATCCGTGTTGGCTTATGTGTAATTTTTCGTTTATAAACTTGAAATATCAACATTATCCGGATAATGTTAACCTTAGCCAGTCAATTTTGGATAATGTTAAAAGTTATGAGCTAAATAGGCTATATAGAGGTTTTTTAGCATTCTATGGTGGTGAGCAACTTTTTTGGTGTCAAGGACCAAAAAATAAAAAATAAAATTTACGGGCCTATATATCACACTTCATTATATTAGTACAATCTAAATTTTAAAAGTTATATCAAATTTAATTTATTTAAGTTTCATCACTGCTTGGTATAATTAAACTTGGTATATATTAACACAGTTTTAATAATAACACATAATAATAATAAAAAAAATTAAAAATATGAAAATACTAATAAATTAATATGATTTTTAAATTTAGATAAATTGTAATCGCAGGCTTAAAATCGCAACACAGGCCGCGGGTTGCTGACCCCAGCTAATAATATCTTATCTTAACTTATAAGTAATAACTGAGTTAGTCAGTTATGTATCTTACCGATAAAATAAACAATATATATGAACTTAATATTTATCTTATTTCATCTTTATACCTATGCGACGTCGCGCTTCGATCTGTTGTTAGTCTGTTTCAGTTTTTACGTGTGACAGTAAGTAAGGATGCATGATGCAATTTTATAGTTGTTAAGACATTATCCATAAGTCCTTGGCTAATGTCATATTAACCGGTTAATGTTAACATTAGCCAGCATTTAATAATATTCATGGCGGGTAATGATAACAGTTGGCTAATGTTGACATTAGCCGGATAATGTCGACATTATCCAAATGTTAACATTACCCGTGACATAAATATAGTTATACATTTTTTGAATTATCCAGCTCATAATTGGATTTAACTAATGGTTTTTACTTTTTATTGCTTCTTTGCAGCGCATTTCCAATTTGCAGCCCGTCACTTCGATGCGGACAAAATAATAATACGTAAGTACGAATTTCGATTACCCGCGTGCCCATGCGACAACATCGCGAATGTATAGCAAAATAATTATTTTTTGTTTCTGGCTGAAATCTCTCGTAACAACGAAACGATAAACACTCGTCGAATGACACTGTATAAATAAAACAACGAATTAGATTATCTTATTCGGTGTCTCCCGAGCGATCATACGGAACGACGACATTTGGTGTATTGTATCGATCTCACACGATAGACAGACACGGGAGATTTCCGGAATTTCGAAAGACTTCCGACAAAAGGTAAGTGAAGTGCATTTAATATAGCGATTTGTTTTGCGCGTCTTTAGTACAGGTAAACTACACGGATTTTCGACGGTGGCACTGAGGCAGTCAATCCGAACAATAATTTTACGTAAGTATAGCAGGTAGGGTTGTTCGTCGGCAGAGAAGATGTTTTGTCCAAAATATGAATATGTCACGTTCGATCAACTCCTTATCGGTGGGCCTGTGTACTCCGTCACGGTATCGCATAATATCAATTTCGGAAAGCCAAACGACGGAAGCCCAAACGATATTCGGTAAATAATAAACAATTTTCAAACAAAAACCAATGACGCCTTATAATATTAAACCAACACCAACACAAAGGTGGAAAAGTTAATGAAAATGATTAACTCAAGTTGATTGAACACAACATTTTTAAGTCAGAAGTTAATAGTTACCAAATAATAAATTTAATTTACAAAGGATAAGATATTTTTTCAACTACTTTTCGTGTGTATACGGATACAAAAAAAAACATTGTTTGAAGTCAATACATTCATCGCTCCGATCTAACTGCAGACTCTTAAAACGTATAATATATAAAAAGAAAATTTGCATCTAGAACCTGTGGAAGTATAAAAAAAATGTCATATTGTCTTACTCTTAATGTACCCTATTCTCAATGTTTGTACACTTATAAACATACGCAATCATAAATTCCCACTAGTTGCTTTAAAAGCAGAGTTGAGAATAATAAAAAAAAAAACCATTTAAACCAAAAATTTCAAAACATTTTTTGTTTGAATCAACTATAAAAAGTATAGATATATCAACAGAAAATTAAACTAGTTTAATGCAGTTAAATGAGTTCTTATAAATTAATTAGAAAATGTACCAATTATTTGAGTTGAAAAAAAATCACTCTAGGCAATTCCCATTTTTGCACGTGTATTATCGTTTGTTTTTCGTACATAGGTCCGGAGTGATCGTCCCACTGCGATTTGATTCCAGCCGATTGAGACGCAAGCCCGCAGTGTATGGTTGGAAGTCCTTTGGGCTTCCGGTAAATTACTTATTTTCACCACTGTTTCAATTTACATACGAGTAAATGATTTTTTTTTGTTTTTGTTTTATGCGGTGTGAACTTGGCGAAGTACCACTGACACCGCAGTGGTCGTGGATGACTGCGACGACGACGACGACGTAAAAACCCTGAAAACGGCTGAAACCGTATTACCATTCGACTAAGACGATATACCTAATATACACGATAAACAAAAATAAACTGTTTTTGTGAATATTATATTTCTTATGCAAAGTCAGATATAACTTTATTTTTTTAAGTTTAAGGCTTCAACTGCAGCGTGCATGGTTATTAGCCGGTTTTTACTGTAGAGGGGGGGGGGCACTGTTGGTTTGGAACACGTGTGAGAATTAGTAATAGGTGTAACCTACTATAGAATAATGTACATTATATTTTGCTCCGTCGTATTAATCGAGCATTAATGTTTCGGCGGGCAAACCATGATTTTGCTCATTAATTTATGTGCAAAAAAAAAATGTTTATATACATATATTACGCACACAATAATAATTAGGCATATCGCGTATTTACCATAATATAATTCACTTAAACACACACGTAAATTATATTTCCCACGGTTCTTGTAATAATTCGTTCTTATAGGTAGGTACAACTTTCCGAACCGCACTTGACGGTAATATAACACGTACCTACCTACCTATAACATTATTTAATGATTGGTCAAATAACAACGATCGCGTGTTGGGCTCATAAATAGCCTAGTGTGCTCGGGATTGGTTATGATATCGCGAAAAATGTATCTCTAGAGAACTGTGCGTCCAATATATATGCTAATCGGACGAACCGAATACCTGTAATTTCGTAACCGTATTATTTATATTTTATTATTTTTTTTTTTTTTCGCTTTTCGTTCAACCTCGTTTCGGCCAAAGGTCTGTACGTAATATTGTATATAAAATAATATTATGAATTCATAGCGTGACATCTAAGTGTATGTGGTTTCCTACCCTTTTGGCGGTACACAATATCGGGACTGTACAATACTGCGGTCTGACACGGAACCTCGCGACCCTCTCTTTTCCCACCATCATCGAACATCTCATGTGCATCCGAACGTATTAAACGAAAATGTTTACAAATTTTAATTAAAACTGTTATTAAAAACTGAACTTTTGTACTCTGTGTTCAAAAACATATAATATTATAGGTAGGTTTATACCTATTTATGTCCAAAGTATACATATTACACGTAATTGCATATAAATCAGATATCAAAACCAAGAGTTATTATAATATGTTATTATTATTAATCACATTTGCCGGTGTTAGGCGTCACGTTAAGTTGTATTATTTCATATTTGAATATCGTAAGAAATGATTACAACTTCAAATTATTAAAACATATTTTATATTATCAGCAGTAAAAACTAGGACTTAATTTTAGTTTGTTAATAACACGAGTAATTGCTATAGTCATACATGCTGTATATAATTATAGTATTATTATTCGTATGTATCAACTGTCATTTAAATTCAATTTATTCGAAATAAATATACACAAAGTAGGCACATACATATAGGTATATCGACAAGACGACAAATGTCCCCTCATTGGCCTCCGACCTCTCCAATACATTATTATGCACATACGATTTGTGATTTTATGACAGTATATCATAAACATAATTTAGACTTTTTGAACTCTACAAATTATATCCTGCTACGTAAATTATGGATAAATAACTTCCCTACAATTTTCACTTATTCACTTTATTTAGAATAACTTAGTATTCGATATTGCCTCTTATAGACTCAAACATATGCTCGAAAATTAGAATATTAATTTAACTCGAAATTGAGTATAAAATTGTAAAAATATTTTCATACTGCCAAAAAAAAAAATCAAATCATATTTTTGTTATATTTCTTTTATCTAGCCCTCTATGTTATCCAAATTCTAACCATACCACATTAAAATTTATTCAAGACTAAAAAAATAATAAGTTGAAGTATATTACAAAATAAATAGTTTTCTGGCGTCAATCGAATAGCCGGGAATTTGTAAATTCAGTCTACTAACACAGAACAGATAAAACACAATATATTACAACACATTATAATATTAAAGAGGTACATAGATGAATACCTAATCAAAGTAGTTAAAGGAATTATTAATCGGTGGCTGAAAACAGACATAAATATAACATAGTTGTTAACTTTAGATTTTTGAATGTAAAACATTTGGGATGAAATTATAAAAAAATAAAACATATTATGATGAATAATTTGCATACAGATATATTTATAAAATTAGAAAAATATCGCGCTATAATATAATATAACTATACTTATTTCAGAAAATAAGTAACTTGAACTTTTTTTTTAATATTTAAAAAAGTTCCATACTTCCATCGAATCCACTGTGTTTGTATGTATTTTTAATTTAAATTTATGGATTTATAATACTATAAGATACCTCTATGATATATTAACAAAACTTCATTGGGTTAAGTTCCTGTAATATATAAAGTAATATTGTTATTGACTATTATTACGTTCAGTGTATACATAATTTTTTTGTAAATAACAAAAAGTTACAAAGATGTTTAGAGTGAAAAATTATTATAAAATAACATTCATAACAATTTTTAACATACCTACTGTTAAGGTTCATTACCTACCTATTTTAAATGCTCTATGGTTTGATTTCAGACGAAAAGTTCACAAATACTTATATACCTATGGCCATGAATTACGATGTTGGAAAATAGAATAATATAGGTACAACAAATGCATTTGCAAATATAATCGACCTGATTGAATGCACTTTTTGTGCGGGCCCAAGAAAATTGTTTTCGAATATGAAAAATAAATATTCCGACTAAAACGTATAACGTTGGTTTGTGAGTTATTGTGCCTATTTATAATTAAGATATAAAAACTTCATGGCGATATTATTAATTACCGTCGGGGTCGCGTTTTTTGGAGCGCGAGCGGCGATATTGTTTCCTGAATACACCATTAAGGAGGTGGGTTCGTGTCCGAAAATAATGTTCACTGACGTGATTATGTAAAATAAATGACATACGAAAAATGAAATTAAGGCCAATAAAAATCATAATCGCCTGCTAATAATTCCGGTCTTTCCGGACAGTAATAATTGAGTGGACGCTTTAATGAGTCACGCTATATCCGCAAAGAAAAGCGTCTCCTATAGTCTTATCATATGCGAAACATCGGCGCGTATGATTCATGGACAAATTATGCTAATAGGTACGCCTGGGGATAATATTTTTATTTTTATTTTTTTTACTTTCCACTTGTTTTTGGTTTTTTCTTGTTGTTTTTATTCCCAGCAACGTCGTCCACCCCCCGATTGTATCGTACATAAATACGCGGCACTACAACGCCGGCCACTGGCTAATGACAAACTCTCACACACATCACGTGCAGCCATGATTGTTATTATTTTTATTATTATTATTATTATTATTATTATTATTCGTATATATGTAGGTAGGTGCAGGGAGCGTTTAACGACAAACCCATATTATATTGACAAACATTTCTGGGGTTGAACCCCATGCTGCTGGTTTTCGCGATTATTAAGACGATAAAGTCTTTTCACGTCATAGACCATATAATTTACTAAAATAAATAATATAATAATTCGTATACACGTTTTAAACGTCCACACTTTTGACTGTCGTGTTGTCTCTGCAAAAGTTGTTGCATCAACTTTATCACTCGTCGTGTTGAGCCGTTCATTGAAAAATCATTATACTATTTTTTATCCCTATTTTATACTTTTACGAATCCCGCAAATCTCATTTTTCAAACTTCACTAAATAAACTTTTTTTATAAACGTAATTGATTCCAAAGGATTTGTTTCCACCCTATTCACATATTATATTATTATAAAGAAAAATTATAAATGTGTGAGTTAATTTCGATTGTTTAAAAATAGTATATATATAATATTAAAAGACCCAAATCACCGTAGATTATAGTACAGCTAGTGTACTAACTTGTTTACTTTTACTATTGTTTTTACGAACGAAACGACATATTTTTCTGACCGTTTACAGTTCAACGGAAAGAGCTCTTCGGACACCGCGTGTAAGCAATTGTCCGAAGTTGGAAGAAATAAAATTGCTAGTAAAACACATTTGCGCTGGTGAAGTCTAAAGACAATTAACCGAAACAAAAGTAGTATTTCTTAGCCACCAACCTCTTTTTCTTTCCCCTCCGAGTTTTGCTTTCAAAAGTCCATGTGCCAAACATAAATACAGTTTTTGGCGCGTGATCGGAAAGTTTGATGGCAGTGAAACAGAATGGTCTCGTCCCTCGAATTTCAACGGCTTCATTATAAAATGTTCTCAAAGAAACTAATTAACTTTTACGACTGTTGAACATTTCATGACAGCTGTGGCCATTTTGGGATTTCTTTGCGAAATTATTTTTTCCTTCGTATTGCCGTAATTGCTTTCCACTCTGTCCTCAATTCAATCAATAATTCAATTCAATGCTGTAAAATATATTTGAAAGATGTATAACGCCTATTAAACATTGTAAATAATACCTACCTGTAAATATAAATACATAGGCTTCTAAATATTAGTTTAAAATCAAACTAATTATAATAATATTTTTAACATAATATTAACATTATTATTATTTTCAATATTATATTGAAATTAAATACTAACAATTTAAAACATTGAAATAAAAAAAACTCTTAGTTAGAACTGCGGATAAGACATCACTGAGTAAATTGCTGTAGCCTTGAGATTCAATAACTTATATTTATTTAAACATATTTAAAATACGTAATTGAATTTCAATTTTTGCAATAAATACTTGAAACGTTTCATTCTTGTTAAAATCGAACAATCAAGTTTAAATAACACATACATTTGTCCATTTTCTTTCATTTATCGAGTTTCTTCTGAAATTTACTACGCATTTCCAAAATCACATTGACATAAAATAT